CCAAAAGAATCGGCTGACTTCAAGAGTCAACCTTTGGGTAATCTTTGCTTTGTATATAAGTCAATTGACACATTGTCAGAGTCAACTAACCATTTAAGCTTTAGCAAGAGATGTCATTCGAATGTTTGAATCGACTTAAGTTCATATGAGTAGCCGACTACATTGGCCTGATACAAATGATATATCCCATCTTTTGAAGTCAATCAAGGCACAATTCCATTCCAACTTACTTTAGGACTTCAAAGATTTATATGACAAGTTCAAGTCCTAATCCTTTCAAGTCTGGAGACCATAATCATATTTATGAATCAATTTGATGCAAGGTCCTTGACTCTACTACATGTGAATTAATATTGACTATTAAAGATATTCCAATTTGGGGATTGAAACAGTTAAGTACGAAGCCTTGTATTAAACCTAGAGAACAATCCAAATTATATGAATTAGGTATTTAGTCCTGGTTTATGTTTCTCAACAGTTGAGTTCTTCCAAAGCTTATGAAAGCTTGAACTAACTCAATTTTAGCAAAGGCCTTATGATATATATATATGAATGAATAAGGTTCATGGCCAATTGCTACGGTCTAAGGACATGCAAATGATATGTAATGTCCCAAGGCTCACTCGGTCAAAAGTGGAGCTTTCAAGTGAGTTACTTCAAGAATGAATTTACAATGAATTATAGTCGTTCACCCAAGCCTATTTACCCATATCCCGATCTCCAATGATGTCCATGGGTTGACTTATTGATGACTAGCTCGTCTTAACTTTGATGCCTCTTTGTTCTCGTGTAGAAGTCTATATCTTAACTTCATCTCATTCAACTTTAGAGGTCTTTTTCCTACGTCATTATCATTGAGCTTTGAGTATGTCTTCTTTAAGTGTTGGATCCTTCATGGTCTCTGCAATTGACCAATTAGCTCATCTTGAGTTTTCATATAACCATAAACTGCTTAGCACAAACTCAAATGGATATTAAATACCAACACCTTCAATGAATTGTTATCATCAAAATGGTTCAATTACCCTTAGGCATGAACCCTTTAGGTCAACATACCCCATCTGTAATACAACTATTGTATGTGTCATGCACACCTAAGCAACTCAAAAAAAAAAAAAGAAAAAAGAAAATTGCCCTTACACCATCTCTTTCACTCAACCACCACCACCTCCTTTGTTCTCTCTTCTTCACCTCTCCACTGCCACCACCTCCTCTATTTTATCTCTTTTAATTATGATCCAATCATATATATATTTACCATTATTAAAAATATATATATATATACAGAGTAATATGTGTGTATATAAAGATACCAAAATGCAATATTAATTATGGTATATATGTAAATATATATGGTATTGTATATTGTAGGAAGATGTTATGTTAGAGAATATAATTATAGGAATGATTAAAACCCTTAATCAATCCTTGATAAAATATTGATATGAGTGAATCATGGAAGTGATTTTAGGAATCTTTCCTATATCATATTTACCACATGTTTGTCTTCTTTCACCTATAAATAGAGATGTTCAATGTATGCAAAAACTAAGAGAAAATATTATAAAAGTGATGTAGCCCTTTGGGCTCTTTGTGCCATGGATGTAGGCCCTAGTGGTTGAACCATGTAATATATTTGTGTTTCTGTTTAATTTCTCTCCATTTATATTTTATTAATTACAATATACTATCAGAGCCCAATTTCTCTCCTCTCTTCCTGCCACTGCCAAGGTATAGAAAAACACTAGGGCACTCACCTAGTCACCTGGTGTGTGCGATAGTGTAGGGAGGATCTCTTCCCCAGGTTTGGACCCCTATTTTGGGGTATTCCCTTAGGGTTTGAAATGTGTTAAGAGTCTCTCAGTGCTATTTGTGACTTGTTTGGGCTACCAGTATGTTCAGTAGCATTGTTTTTTGCATTCGCCATGTGTTTGGTTCTATTTGTGACTTGTTTGGACTGCTGGTATATTCGGTAGCATTGTTCTTCATCTTCACCATATCTCGGGCAATTTTTATTGTCTTGTTCTTGGTCTGCGTATTTGATATTTTATCGCTAGTGACATCATCATTGTGGTTATCATTGGTGCTAATTGTTGATCACTCATGCAATGGTCTTCGTTCTTGTGTGTTGGCGATTGTCTCAATAAATAGCCATTGTTGTTGGAGATTGTGGTGATCATTCATGTGTATATCATTGTGTGTGTGTGTGTTGATTACTCAAGCAATGGTCATCGTAACTTGTGTATTGGCAGTATTTGATTATCATCAGGTTGCCGACTGTGTTGGCCCTTGCTGATTGTCGTCGAGTTACCAACTGTCTTGTGGCTTGGATTTTGGATTGTGTGACATCATTGTGCCTATGTGTTGGCTACAACATCACAAAGAGAGGAATACACTTTGGATATTCTGAAGTTGCGAATATCTTCACCAAATCGTTGGAAAAAGATCCGTTTAATGATTTCATATGCAAGTTGGGCGCTATTTCCATAACCCTCCAACTTGAGGGGAGTGTTGGAAGATGTTATGTTGGAGAATATCATTATAGGAGTGATTAAAGCCCCTAAATCACTCCTTGACTAAGTATTGATATGAGTGAATCATGGGAGTGATTTTAGAATTCTTTCCTATATCATATATATTACATGTTTTTATTCTTTCACCTACAAATAGAGGTGATCATTGTGGGTAAATTTTTTAGCAAGTTTAGTTAGGTTATAATAGTTTACATAGTACCCAAAGACTGGCAAATGATTTCTCCTTATGATTTCTCTATTATATTTACCATTTACCCCAAAAAAAAAAAAAAAAAAAAAATCATAACTATAAAGTTTATAAAATTAATTCTTTCAGTAGACTTCGGTTACATTAAGGAAGTCAAAATGAATTTAATTACGTGCATTGCACGTGTATTTTTACCTCCTTTTGATCTGAAACACTTGAATAGATGGTTAATGAATTCTAACATTAAAAATAAATAAGTTAAACACAAAAATTATAATTAGTATTGGACAAAACTTTTCCATAAAGGTATCCATTGAGAATAAATGTCTAGACATAGTGGGTGAATCATGTTCGTCTATCTGTATTGTAAGCTTCAAGTGGTTCCTCCTCATATGTATGCTAAGTATTAGATTATGGTTAGTAGCTTTTCTCTAAATGACTAGCATATTTCTAATCTCACTCATGCCATTTTCTTTTAATAATATTTTCATTCTTTCATTTATATTACTATTTATGATTTAGAGCCATAAAATATATATATATATATATATATATATAAAGATTTTTTAAGTAGGTGAATTGCACATACATTTTTAATGGTATACTCAAAAGTACAAATACATGCAGATGCCTTGATAACCCAGTGGTTAGTGCCTCAAGTGGATTTTGGGAATGCCAGGAATCTAACTTCTAACCCTTCCTGCCTTGTAAAAAAAAATTTGTACAAATACATAATTTTGGGATCAGGCTGTGCTTGGGGTATTTTTTGGATAAAGAAAACTAATAGTAATTAAGATTATTAAGTGCAATCTAAATTTAATTGAGGATGAGATATTTTCAGTCCAAATTGAAACAGAATTTGTAATAATAATTGTCCAAAACCATAAAAGATCATATTCGATTTGAATTGGGTTGGTTTGAGCAACACTTTAGTTGTGATGGGTTGATAAATTCAAAGCCAAACTATAATTCGTAAGCTTATGACTGACCACTCCTTAAAAATTTCTTCCCCGAATGAGTGTTACAATTTATTGTGATAAGTGATGAGATATAAATTATAGGTTTTTTTTTTATTTATTATTATTATTTAGTTGTACCATTCTTGTTGTCAAGGATGAACCCACCAAGGTAACCGGCTTATTTACTTAACTACTCATAATTTTTGCTAATTTTTTTAAAAATGCCCCTACTAAATTTTTCAAAATACTCCACTACATATAATTGCCCCCACTGATTTTTTTGGGTCCAGATAGTAAAGTAACCGGCTTTCTCTCTCATTTTTTCACTCTTTATTTTCCCATATCCATGGTAAAATGAATATCTCGCACTCTCTTTTCTCACTAGCTCATTTTTTTAAAAAATATCCCATTAATTTTCTTGTCCCTATTGTTATTTTTATTACACATTAATTATTATGATTTGGGAATTTTTCAACATGAGATTAATGAAAATTAATTTTACTGATATAATTAATAGTAGTCATTCCCATATTCGTGTCCCATATCTGTCTCTGTATTTCTTAGACTGTAATCTACTCTCTCACTCTCGTTTTCTCACTCTCTAATATTTGCCTCCATCTATCCTCTCTCATTTTTGTAAATGTAGTAAACGAAAATATTATCAACTAAAATTAAGTTTTAATATTTGTCATTTTTTTAAAAAATAAATTATCTTCATTTTATTTTATTTTTTCCAATAATGCCCCCTCTACTTGAAAAAAAAAAAAAAAAAAATGGTGCCCTGTCTCAAAAGTTCCTAGCTGAGTGACTGCTAATTGTTAAGGAAAATTGTAGTTCATGAGGGTTTTTTTTTTTTCTTCACACGCTGTCTCCGAGGATCGAACCCATCTCCCTTTGGGAAGTAGGAACCTTGTACCGCTAGGGCACAGGCCTATTGATAAACAATTATTAATTTGAAGGAACAATTTATTGCTTTATGATTTTGAGAATGGACAGTTCTTGAACTGCTGTCAAGTTGAATGGAAAATGATCTTCTGAACCTAAACTCAAAGATTAATTTAAACATGAATTTCGGATAAATGATCGGGCTGGGTTTAGTACGGTGAGTGCAGCTTGAAAGCAAACCTCAAGCTTCCCAAATTGCACGACATTTAGGGTTGAAGGGTATATTCAAAATGTGATTTATTGATTATTTCTTTCAAGAGTAAGTTAGATACAGGTATTATTGATATGTTTATATAATCGGATGCAAGTGTATATTGTCATGTTATATAATTCAAGAATATATATATATATATAATATGAATTTGTGGTAATTACCCGTTTGCTGTATCCCGAACGCTATATCCGCTTATATTTGCTGCATCCACCAGAGCTGTCTTCCACCTCTGCACTTTCTCCATGCTCCCACTGAAAGCTTTCTCATGAATGTGGAAGGCTGATTCGAAGCTCCCTGCTTGTTTCCGGACTTCCGAAGGATCCACATCATAGAACACTGGTACCACTGTTTGCCCCATCGTCTTCTTGCATTCAAGGATTTTCGCGAGTTCATCCAAACACCACTTGGAGGAAGCATAGTTTCTGGAGAAGACGATGAGAGCGAACCTCGATTCTTCGATGGCTTTCACCAGTGATGGTGAAATATCTTGCCCTCTTCTGAGTTGCTTATCGTCTTTGAAGGTGTAGATTCCTCTCTGAGACAAAGCAGCGAACAGATGGTCTACAAAGTTCTTGTGTCTTCCCCTCTGAAGCTCAAGAATACATCGTAATTCCATTTAGGGTTAGGGGTTGAAGAGGAAGACACTGTGTGTGTGCTCGTGGAAGCCATTGGGAACCAAAAAGCTTGTGATTGTGTGAAGGATAGAAGGAACAATTGAATGCTATTCAGTTTCTGTGAGGGTTTGGTTAATTTGTATACGGTGCTTCATATATAAGCAATTACGTGGAAATGCCAAAGCAACGATGGAAAGTCAAGTGGAAAGGAAAATATTTATGTATGAAAGTCAAGATCTACTCGTATGAAAGGATGATCCCCAAAATATATTTATGTAGTATATTTTTTTGCCAATAATTTTATTTAGAAGGTCAAAAGTTTAATTTTTTTTTTTTTATAGGAGCAATTGATTCTAGATATATATATATATGGAAATGAAAGAGATGGAGCTGCCAAATGTTACAAATTCTAGAAGACCAGAGGGAAAGAAACTAGTTTATAACGATTCCCTTCGGTGTAGTTATTGCCGGAAGAATAGGCACACTAGGGAGACTCGTTGGAAGTAAGTGTTCCAAGGAATATTTGCCACATATCATATTCGAATGAAAAAGTGATTGGGTATAAAGACGAAGGTATGCAACACTACCTCATAATTTGAGTTTTTGGATAAATGGGTAAGCGTCTATCCGTTATAGTTAGTATCAGAACCAGACTCAGTCTTTGATCCGGTGTCACGCCAAGCGCCCGGCTAAAAAGGCGTCCAGATGAGCCACCCCAGGTAGGCAGGGTAACCCGACAGCAACGAGAGCGTTGCGAGTTCAGGTGGGAGAGAATGTTACAATAGAATATTTGTCCCACATCGGATTCGGATGGGAGAGTGATTAGCTATAAATAGGTAGGTATTACTTAACAGTTCGAGTTTTTGGGTAAAGAGGCAAACGCCCACCCGTTACAGAAAATAGTCGGAAGAGACCTGAGAAATGGAGTTCAATAAAGAGGAGATAGATAAACTCAAATAGTTTATTTCACGACTAGAAAAACCTGAGGGATACATCCATTTTACACAAACAGGTAAGAATTCTCTAGCTTCAAGTGTCTCTAAAAATCAGTTTTCTAGTCCTTGGATCATAGATTCAAGGGCTTCAGACCATATAACCAATTCATCAATCAGACCATATAACCAAGTCATTAATTCTTTTTCTCAACCTACAGCCCATGTCCAGGAAATCAGAAAATAAAAATTGTTAATGAAACCTTAGTCACTATAGCTGGTCGAGGGAACATCTCCTTAACTCTGTCCTTAACTTTGAAAAATGTTTTACATGTTCCCAAACTATTGGTGAATTTATTCTCCATTCCTCATATCACTAAGGATCTTAACTAGTTGAGTGACATGTACATCACAAAAATGTGTTTTTTAGGACCTTCTTAAGGGGAAAATGATTGGGCATGCTAGAGAAAATGGGGGACTATACTCCCTTAAAGCTGAAAGTGGCACAATAGATTCTACTCCTGTCAAAAAGCCCTACATTTGATGAGGATCAAGTTTGGTTATCCCATTTTCATCTTGGTCATCCACCTTTTTTATTGTTGAAAAAAAAAAAAAAAAATGTTTCTTGCCGTATTTGAAAAATTGAATGTTCAAAATTTTCATTGTGATGTTGTGAGTATGCTAAACATCATCGTGTGTCATTTCCTTTGAGTAATAAGAAAAGTTATGTTCCTTTTAGTTTGATCCATACCGATGTTTGGGGGCCTACTAGAGTTCACACTATTTCTGGGGTAAGATGGTTTGTTTTGTTTGTTGATGATTGTACGAGGTTTACATGGGTATACCTCATGAAGTAGAAATCGGATGTTAGCATTATCTTTCCCATTTTCCACAAAATGGTAAAAACCCAATTCGATGCCAAAATCAAAACAGTGAGATCTGATAATGGAAAAGAATATTTCAATCAATACCTCACACCATATCTCCAAAAAGAATGAATCATTCAATATTCCTCATATAATGATACTCCACAACAAAATGGGGTAGCCGAGCGTAAAAAAAGACACTAGAAATTACAAGGGCTCTGATTTTTCAAATGAATGTTTCAAAGGCGTTTTTGGGGAGAGGCTATTTAACCGCTGGCAACCTCATCAATAGGCTACCTTCTCGAGTTCTCAACTACATTAGTCCTGTGAACCTCCTCTCTAATATTTTCCACACTTTGATGGTTTTAGCCGAATTCCTCCTAAAGTGTTCGTGTGTGTAGCCTTTATTCATATTCATGGTTACCAAAGAACTAAACTTGACCCTCGAGCTCTAAGTGTGTGTTTGTCAGTTATTCTCTTACAAAGAAGGATTATAAGTGCTATCATCCGGCTTCTCAAAGGTTTTTTGTGACTATAGATGTAATCTTTAATGAACAACAACATTTCTTCACTAATCCTTATCTTCAGGGGGAGCCTTTTGCAGAAGATAGGAATTTTTTCCTAGCCTTCATGTCCTAAATGACTTCACAAAAGTTGTCCAACCTAAGAAATCAAATTCTATACCCCAAACAGCTCCATAAATTGAACTTGAACAGCCATAAGAACATCCTTAACAGCCCGACCTTGAACCTTACCCACAAAGGCGAGGGGAGGAAGATCATAGTGTGCCACTCAAAGTCTACTCAAGGAGGATAAAACCAACTCCAGAATCTCTACATGTTCCACTTGCTAATCCGAAAAAGGTACTGTTTCCAATTCTAATGTTCCTGATGATCTTGATCTGCCCATTGCCCTTAGGAAAAGAAAAAGACAATGTACTCAGCATCCTCTGACCCTTTGACCAACTTTGTTTCCTTAGATATAGAAACACCAAAAACTGTTCAAGAGACACTTAGAGATGAGAATTGGAGGAAAGTTATGATGGAAGAAATAAATACACTAATGAAAAATAATACATGAGAGATTGTTGATCTTCCCGTGGGAAAAAAGAAGGTGGGGTGCAAATGGAACACTAGAGAGGTATAAGGCAAGATTAGTAACAAGTGGCTACACTCAGACTCATGGAATTGATTATCATGAGACTTTTGTACCCGTCACAAGTGGCTACACTCAGACTCATGGAATTGATTATCATGAGACTTTTGTACCCGTCGCAAAGATGAATACTATTTGTATCATGTTATCCTTAGCTACTAATCTTAATTGGCCGTTGCAGCAATTTGACGTAAAGAATGTTTTTCTACACAAAGACTTAGAAAAAAAAAGTCTATATGGAAATGACACCGGATTTGGAGGGAAAGTTCAAGGAGAACAAATTTTGCAGACTCAAGAAAGCTTTGTATGGCCTTAAGTAGTCACATAGGGCCTGGTTTGGAAGATTTGCTAAAGCAATGAAGAACATTACAACCAAACCTAAGGGGATTAAACATTGTTTATCAATGTGATACCCCCTAATTTTAGAGACATGGGTTGATCAAGTCCACACTAAAAAACCAAGTGATATCAAAATAAATAATAATTAACAGCACGAAATACAAAATAAATAACTAAGAATAAATAAAACGCTAAAGGAAAATCTAATAAATAATAAATTCTATCATTAATGAACTTCTAATTAAAATCCATAATGAAATATATCCTTTAAAATTACAACTCGGAAATCCTGTAAAGTAAGGACCCCCAAACCATAATCTAATATCCGATAAATGCACAAAGAAATAATAATAAAGTCTATTAACGATATAACATCCTACTTTGAAGTAAATCAGAAGAGTGGATGGTAGACAAAATCTCCAAGCTGCGGATCTTCAACCTTGAGACTTGAACTTCTACGAACCTGAAAAATATAAACAACAATAGGTCAAACCCATGAGCAAGTTCCCTTTACTAAGCCTCTGAAAATCGATAAATAATCCATCTCTAACCAAGAACCATCATATTAAAGTTTTATTCTTTAATATAAGATGATATAGAATAATACATATAAAACAACCTGATTAGGCAAATTCTCCATGCCTAGAGCTATACATATAGTAATTTAACAGTGCACCCACAACCATAATAAGTGCAACAACATCCTTACTTAGAACTATATTCTCTAAGTTCCCAACATTAAATAAAATTAACAATTATTCTATAGATTATACATTATCTGCACATAGAGTATGTATATTTTTCTTTTTACAAATTTAAATATAATGTCAACTCGTCCATGCCTCCAAGAGTATGTTTTTATCCATCCTATATATTTAACAAATTGTCCTTGCTTCCAATGTAAGTATTTTTTTCATATAATTAAATAGGTTATCTTTCTATGCCTTGACATCTCAACCATACATTCGATTAACCACATACCAAGACCACTCAACCAATTCGAGGTACAAGTGAGACTGCGTTTATTAGTCAACTCACGTGATTCCACAATCCATTACCACCATTATAAATTAATTCACAATAAATCATACAATAGGTACACATGCAAAATATAAGCATGAAGAAATTACGTAAGACAACCTACTATGATTTCTATCTATATCATAGCATATATAAACATGATAAATAACAATGAGTAACTTATTAGTTGATTTAGTTATATTTATTTACTTATTTATTAATGCCCATGTGTGTGGTAGTATATAACACGTACGTTACAAATTAGCCAGTATAACCTTATATTCATTTCCCGTGGGAAAACCAACTAACCATTACCATTTGTCTAGAATTCAACATACCACTAACACGTTACACACATATAATATACGACCACATTTAATCCATATGTAACCAATTTATCATTGTCCAAAATTGGTTATAATAATTTTGGGATAAAACATATAATTAACACGTAACAAATGCAATGACCAAATTGTTTATAACAATTCTAGAGTAAGACATAAATATATAATTAACACGTAACCAATACAATGACAAAATTATTTATAACAATTTTAGGGTAAGACATATAACCACGTGTCATAATACGACGTATGTGGTAAACCAATTCTGAGTAAAATTTGAATAGGATCAGACAGAGTAGTAATATGGAATTTTGATCGACGTGTAACCCCTATCGGTCCAGTTAACCAAACCGGTCCATATCTCCAACCTATCAGTCGACCGAGTTAACTAAATCGGTCAATGTTTCTGTTGGGAAACGTGCAAGTTAACTTTTTAAGAGATTTTCATGCATAAGTCTTGATTCATCACATAGAGACAAGTTTTATGCAAAAATAAAATGATGTATCATTCAATTAATAGATTGAATATTTACATCAAAGGTTTGAGTAAACCTTTAAATCTTTCCTCTAAAGTGAATGTTCTCACTTATTGTGGATCCCTTAGCAAGATCATTTCTCCTTCTTCTTAATAGTAATCTTCCCTTTAGGAATCACCAATATACCTCGATGAATAACCTTGGAGGCAAGGCTTGTGGTAGCCTCCTTTAGAAGAGAAAGCAAACCCTAAAAACTAGAGAGAGAAAATATACTCTTTCTTTTCTTCCAAAAGTCTACCTTAAAATATACATGGACCCATGTATATATAGGTAACATAAAGATAAGGAAAGGAAACAAT